CTGGGATGGAAGAGAAGTAAGTACACACTCAACAGTTAAAGAAGCAAAAATATTGGAGTTTACTAACTGGAGTCTGTAAAATGAGACTGCTTCGTGGAAGGTATGGCTCCTCACAGTACTGTGTGTCTAGGTAAATTTTAAGGGAGTGAAACTCTATGTTACATACTTTAAAATGCATGTATTCAAATATATACATTTAAGGTGAGAACTAATTGCCTCCACATTTGCATTCACAATCAAGAGAAAGTAAAATGCAGGTGACAAGTGACTACTGTAGATAGTTGAGTATCAGGTGTTAGGCAGAAAGATGGCATATTTTCTACTTATGAAGCTCACCACATAAGATGCAAATAATGTGAAAGGCAAATAGTTTTTAAAGAACTAGCAAAAGAAGGGAGACACCGTTGGTCACACATAGCACAAAAACCCCGTGCTATTTTTCTAGAAAAAGAAGTGCCAGAACACATTATAAACCCCTCCCTTGTTCTCTTATAATGGTAATGGCGCCCACCTGACAGGTGCCGGAACTGAGTTCCTCTGAATTCCAGCTAAAGAAAAGTCCTGCAAAAACTTGACTACAAAATGGTCAAAGGCATGTCTTTCTGGAAGAAGACTTGAATGAATATATGAGGACTGAATGATCAGTTAACTAAAGATGCCCTCCAGATGTTTTGGACTACAACACCCATCATGTCCAAAACATCTGGAAATCATCTACTTGCAGAAGGTTTAACTAAATAAATGGCATTCCAAAGCTAACAGTAATTGCCTGGCATCCAAAATGATAATACTAGCTAGTATCTGGAGAATAGCCTATTTATTTATTACCTGTGAGATTTATCATCCCCCCTTTGATCAAAATAGTGCAGGGGTGACATCCATTGGATTACATGAGCAGTTCTCAAACTTCTCTCCTCTGCACACCACATGGAGCACTTTAAAGTTGCTGAGGAACTTCGCAGACTACTTTTTTTGTTCTACAAAGCATATCAGCAACTCATATTTTAATGCCCCTAGACTTGCCTTTCTATGTGGTGAAGCAAAATAATTTTTTTTAAAAAAATTCTTCAGTGTTGATATCAAAAACATTCACTCTAGATAAGAGCCTAGTTAGTCTGTTCAATAATCTGGTCCTAATTTAACCAATTAAATACAGACATCCTTGACTATTCAACAATCTTCCTGTGGATGATTTAAATAGAACTCACAGACCACACTTTAAAACCTCTGAGTTATTGTATTTCAACCTCTTTACCCTATGAGGTAGGTTAGGCTGGGAGGGTAAGGCTTGCATATGGTTGTGTAGCGAGCATTGTAAGTGAATGTCCCAAATGCGTATCAAAGTCTCTGGCTATTACAACACCTTGTATCTGCATATTACTTGTGCAGGATTTCCACTGGGCTTTTCAGGTTAGATTATGCTAGAAACAGATGTTAACATACAGGGAACCATTTAACAATATGTGTGCCACACAGTGGTTTTTTGGTAAAATAATAATGATGGTACCCAATGCCGACTTCACATGCCCAAAGCCTACAGATAGCAGGATTGAATGCCCTGCCCCATACCTCATAGACAGGGATTTAATCCTTCTTAGTTTGGGTGCACAAAGGGGTTCCCTGCAGGGAATTCCATTGCTCTTTCAATGCAGGAAGCCTGTAGAAAGCAGTCTGAACCATCAGGTGATGGACAGGGAGTTCAATCCTGCTTGCTATCTCCCCAACCCCCATGTGTGACAGGTGAGCAAGACCACCCACCTGCCATTCACATGGCATCATTATGATATCAGATGATTGACAAGTGGGCTCATTCTGGCCACTCATCAAAAGTTGGCTCATGTGGTCGAAAGCAGATAATAATCTTTACCACTAAACCAAAAAAGGTTCCCCATCCCTCTTAAAAAAGGTGCCAGCACTTCATACCAAAGTTACCATCAGAAATGTATATCCAGCTCTGTGAACCAGAAAAATATCCTATCAACAAGCCCATCTGCTGTCATCCCCACCAGCTGCTATTCCAACAACTGGTACTAGGTCCCTTCAGCCCTCATGCCAACTTTCTCAAATCAACTGCTCTGTAAAGAGGAGGTGGAAAGAAGCAAACCAAATATCACTTTATCTGCCACTGATTCAACAAGTGTTCTTCCCTACTACAACAGGTTTAGAAGCAATGGGGGGGGGGTAAAAAATGAGTTCCAGAATGTTTGCCTTTTTGAACTTTTGTTTATTGTCTGAGATTTGGGGAACTGGAAGATGAATGGAACTCCAACAAAGAGTACATTATAAGAAAGCTGTAACTGGGGAGAAAAAGAACCAATGGGAAAGTTGAATTGGGGGAGAAAACAGAATAAGGACAAGACAATAATAGAAAGTGGAGCAATTTATTATTTTAATGTGCCCTCCTTTGTCTCCTAAAGTCATTCAAATGGTGAATCAAATTGCGAAATAATTTATTTTTATTGAACAAAACTGTATATACTACTTACTCAAACAAAGTTCTGTAAGCAGTTTATTGCTAGAAGGCAGGCTGAATGGAGAAGGTAGGACACCTAAGTATTATAAAAATTAATCTCCGGGTTGATAAAAGAGCATTTTCAGAGTGTTTGTAAAGTTTCAGACATTACTCAAAAAGTAATGCATAATGTGTTTAGCCTGGAGAATTGATTTCTATAACCAAGCTTTGAAAATGAAACATATCAAACTATTTTTTAAAATAAAATAAAATAAAGTACTCTCACAGACAGAATTAGGTCAGAATAAGGAGAGCAGAGGAACTAAAAAACAACCAAAGAAAGGCCTTTCAAGTCCTCTGTTTAAGAATAAAGGTATATAAGAAAACAAGCTTCCTGCTGCTTTCTTTAATTACCAGTATTATTGCTCATGTGGAGATATTGAATTCAGAGAATATGTGCAGGAGAGGAAAATATCACAAATTATGAATCAGACTGTCTGGAAGTACTTTGCCACTTTTGCTTGTGAAGCTCACAGATCTATAAGGAAATATGGGGAAATGTTTGGTGCTACAACAACATGGCAGGAACAGCAAGGGCTACACTGGATGCATAACAGAACTGGGAGGAACCTAAATTTGTTGCAAAAGCAATCATTTTAGTTTCAAATAATATGCCATAACAGCACACAATCAAATCCTGCAACCCTAATAATCTGGCTACTCACTGACTGAAAACAAAATCTTGGGCAAGATGGATTCACAGATTCTTAGAAGAAAAAACTGGATCAGTCCAGCATCATATTATCACAGTAATCAACCAGACGATTGCAGGAGTTCTTACTGTGAGAAAGATCTTCCTGATGTTTAGTTGGAATCTCCTTTCTTGTAACTTGAATACTTTGGTTTAGTTCCTAGCCTCCGTAGCAGGAGACAGCCCTTTAGATACTTGAAGATGGCTATCATATCTCCTCTCAGACTCCTCTTTTCCAACCTAAATATTCCCTCAACCGTTCCTCATAAGGTTTGGTTCCCAGACTCTTGATCATCTTGGGCACCCTTCTCTTCACACGTTCCAGCTTGTCACTATTGTTCTTAAATTGTACACAGTACTCCAGGTGTGCTCTGACCAAGGCAGAATAAAGTGGAACTTTTACTTCCCTTGATCAGGAAACTGCTTCTATTGATGTAGCTTACAATAGCATTCATTTGTTTTGATGCTGCATCACACTTTTGACTCATGTTAAGCTTGTGGTCTACTAAGATCCCTAGATCCTTTTCACATGTACTAATGGCTAGCCAGGTGTCCATGTCCCCCCGCCCATCTTATATATCTGTTGCTGGTTCTTCCTGCCTAAGTGTAGAATCTTACATTTGTCCCTATTGAAATTCATGTTGCTAGTTTGGACCCAGTTCTCCAATTTGTTAAGGTCATACTGAATCCCAATTCTGTCTTCAGTGGAATTGGCCACCCCTCTCAGTTTGGTAAAGGTAAAGGACCCCTGACAGTTAAGTCCAATCGCGAACAACGCTGGGGTTGTGGTGCTCATTTCGCAGTTTTTCCAGGTCATGTGGCCTGCGTGACTAAGCCGCTTCTGGTGAAACCAGAGCAGTGAATGGAAACGCTGTTTACCTTCCTGATAGGTACCTATTTATCTATTTGCACTTTGACATGCTTTCAAACTGCTAGGTTGCCAGGAGCTGGGACCGAACAAAGAGAGCTCACTCCGTCGCGGGGATTTGAACCTCCGACCTTCCAATCGGCAAGCCCAAGGCTCAGTGGTTTACATCACAGCGCCAGTTTGGTATCACCTGCAAATTTCATGAACATCCTCTAAATACCTTCATCCAAGCAGTTTATAAAGACGTTGAACAACAATGGGCCTAGGACAGAACCCTGTGTCACCCCACTCGTCATTCCCCCCCCCCCAGATGATTAGAAATAGCTAGTGAGCACTCTTTGGGTTTGGTCTGTCAACCAGCTACAAATCCGCCTAACAAATATTTCATCCAGTCCACATTTTACCAGCTTCATTCATTTTACCAGTCTCATTCAGTGTGAGGTCTGGGGGAGAAGTGCTGTGGGGATTTTTAGCAGTGTACACCAAGAATGCGGTTTGTTCACATTAAACCCACAGTTTTGTTTTAAACTATGGTTTAATGAGATGAGTAAACTGGGTTAGACTATTTTGTCATTTCCTTCTAATGGAAGGGCCTGTGCGTGTGCATAATTCAAGGATGTATGTAGGAAGTAAAAAAATAAATTATAATGTGTAAAAATGCCTGTCTGTAGTAATGTTATTTGTGCAACATCACAGCCAACTTGGTTGACAGAACATCATGAACAGCCAAGCCTGTGTGTATTTTATCTATAGTTCTTAAAGCCAATTTAAAATTTACACTACTTTAAAAGGAATTTTAAATTTGGCTTCCAATTGTTTTAGTTGTTGTTTTAATGCTTCTTGAAGTTTGGGTTTCCAAATAAAGCAATAACACTGAGCCATTGAGTTGTGTCTTCTTCAAATGTTTGTGATGGGGGGAAATATAGTACCTTTCTTTCATGACTCCTTGGGCCACCAGTTGTATTTTGCTTGAGGAAGCCTGCTGTTGTGGACCATCTGGTGGGGTTTTTCCGTGAAGGCTCTTCTGCAGTAAAATTGTTCTCACTGACTGATGTTGAGAGACCAACTAACGCAGGATCACTACTGCGGCGTACATGAAGAGGCATATCTGAAGAGATAAAAAGGACAAAAAAAATTATATGTAGCTGACGTCCTTAATCTTTCTGCAATAAGTGTGGAAATTATAAACACACTCACTGAGTATATCCAAAACCAGCATGATGTTATGGACTCCAGTGAGTTATCTGCCACAATCAACCGACATAACAGAAGGACAACTTGTATTAAGCATCCATGATGGATGCCTGTCCAGCTTTCTTTGAAGCAGCAACATGAAATTCTGTTTCTTTCCCATACCAATCATTATCAAGTCTCAACAGCCCTTCTAGTGAAGATACCATAAATATTTCCTTTCCTTGTAAGTAATGATTAATAGCATAATTTATCTGGAATACTGTGAAGATCCTGAGTAATCCTTTCTCTCCCTTCAAAACAAAACAAACACCACACAGTCCAGACTTCCATGCCATTTTGCTAGCACACAGAGGACCTGCTTCCTACCAGAGGCTATCAATATAGGGGATGCGAAGATACTGTGTCCCTTCTCCCCCATGAATTTATTGCAACACTACCCAAACTGAACATATAAAACAAGCCGTAGATGCTAGAAATATTAAATTAAATTAAATATTAAATTTCTTGTTTGTAGATGAAGGGTATCATCAAGAACATTTGCATACTAACAGACAGTAGCCTCTTTCATATGATCGCATAAGCAGCATTTAAGTGATTGAAAATGAATCGCAGTACAGCTCACATGTTCTCCCTCCTCTTTCAACAGGAAAGCATCTGTTTTCACTTCAGAGCAAATCACAGCTCCACACTGCATATGAACTTAGTGAACTGTGGTTTGTTCTGACCTAGAGATGGGTAACCTGTGCCCCTCAGAGGGATTGTTGGACTTCAACTCCCATCAGCCTCAGCCAGCTTACCCAGTTATGAAGGATAACAGAAGTCTAGCAATATTGAGAGAACCACACATTCTTAATCCCTGTTTTATTAAAATTTAGTTTAAACTAACCCAGATTATACTCTGGTTTTATGTTCTGGCTTGTTAACTAGTTTTGACACTGCACAGGTTGCTGACACTTATATATTTTGATGGAGGAGGCGGCTTTTCCTATACAGGAGCAACAGTTGACCAGCCTATTCTTCACGCGCCTTTTATACATTGCTCCTTTTTATGCATTTAGATATCTTGATCAAGACTGAAAGACTTGTTGTGGTTGGCACAGAACCAAAAGAGCACCATGGTTCCAAACATAAAGGTTTATATAGTTTAAGGATATTGCTATGTTGAATATTTGTTTAGCAGCATGATTTCCTGCCTTTAAACCTCTTTGGCATCAAGCAGCACCCAAGAGAACCCCAAAGCAGCAAGTTCTCAAGCATGGTATTCGGGAAACAGGAAAAATAAGTAAAAATGAAAAATGCATTTTATTTTCATTAGGCTATCTATTTTCCCTGTTTAAATACCACACATTTTTATTACATTCCAATACGCTCAACAAAGAAAACACTGGAAGAGATATGTTCGCTACTAATGAGGCAAAATGTAATATAAAAACAAAGCAAAAATAATTAGAAACATATATCAAGAAGAATCTATTATTTCTTACATAATAATAAGGTAAAGGTAAAGGTACCCCTGCCCGTATGGGCCAGTCTTGCCAGACTCTAGGGTTGTGCGCCCATCTCACTTAAGAGGCCGGGGGCCAGCGCTGTCCGGAGACACTTCCGGGTCACGTGGCCAGTGTGACATCGCTGCTCTGGCGAGCCAGAGCCGCACACGGAAACGCCGTTTACCTTCCCGCTAGTAAGCGGTCCCTATTTATCTACTTGCACCCGGGAGCGCTTTCGAACTGCTAGGTTGGCAGGCGCTGGGACCGAACAACGGGAGCGCACCCCGCCGCGGGGATTCGAACCGCCGACCTTTTGATCGGCAAGCCCTAGGCGCTGAGGCTTTTACCCACAGCGCCACCCGCGTCCCATAATAATACATAATAATAATATAATATAATATAATATAATATAATAATAATAATAATAATAATACATAATAATAGTACACAGTTTATGTGCTTCAGTGAGGCTTTCAAGCATATTAAGCAGTCTTACAAATTGCCAAGGCCAAATTCAGACCTTAAGTCTATGTTCTCAAACCCAGCTGATGGAATTGGGGGAGTAGGCTGAGGCTAGCGTGTAAAAAAAACCAAAAACCCACCATCACATCTTTGGGCAGCAAATATAGTAAGATATGCAGCATGTAAAATGCCTGCTTTTGTCTGTGCTGAGATTAATGTCAATCAGTTTCACTGAGCGACTAGAATTTTGACCAATCTTATTTATATATTTTTTTTCTCACTAGAGAATTTTGACCTATATATATATTCTTACTAGGAAGCCCCAAACACTAAGATGTATAGAAGGTCCTCCAGCTTCCTGATAATTGTGGCTGATGTGTGGTTGACCACTCATTTTCAGAAGGGATAGCCAGAACTGAGCACAATAACACAAGTTATACCATACAAGCCATTTTACTTCCAATATTTTCTCTAATAATCCCAGACACAGAATTGGCCCATTTCACTGCTGCTGCTCACTGAGCTGACATATCCTTTGAGCTATCCACCATTGCCAGATCTCTTTCCTGGATAGTCAAAAGTCTAAGACAGCATATATGCTTTAATTAGGAGTTTGTAGAGAGATCCACACTTCAAAGCCAATCTAAGTTTGCATCCTCCAAGCTCTCTCTCTCTCTCTCTCCTCTCTCTGTAGTTGTATGAGAAGGGATTCCCAAATTTTAATATGTATCAGAAGAAATCAAAAATAATGAAGCCAGTAATAATACATTCACTGATTAGCTTGCAATTTCCAAAATCTCATCATAAATTCCTCAACCCAGAAGTCAGTATAATGAGATGCCTAAATACTACTTCTATGCTTCTTTTCATGTGCCCCTTCCCCCTCCCAAAAGATTTACATGCAGGGCTAATGAGAAGACATGACATGAAACTTCAGTCTACTGCCAGCATGAAGTCTTTCCACAGGATGAATCTATATTCAAATGTCAATGATTAGTGCTAATATCCATACCTTACCAACAAAAGTCAATCAGGATGCCTAATTGCTTAAACATATCCAAAATGCATTTCAGCATTAAAAAAATGGGGGGGGGGAGTATTAACATTAGCATTTGCTTAAGGCCAGAATCAGAGATACATGTACAAAATACACAAAATACTCCAAAACTGATCTGACATATTCATCTCATCCAGCCTCTAATTAATCACCAGCATTGTTTTGCTTTGTAGTCATTAAGCTCCCCTCCCTCTCCCAACCACATACAAGTCCCCCTACCCACCTGGGACAACATACAAATAAGAATGGAACTGTGAACATTTTTTCCTAATATAAGTTTGTATAATGTCCTAGTTTACTTAATTTAGAGATTTCAGAATTATATCCCTGTTAGAAAAATCAAAGGGAAAAGAGCTTAAATAATTAAAACACCAGACGAAAGCATGTGTAGGCCCAGTGCGGTGTCACAAATTCCTGGATGATGGCAGATAGTGTTTGATGTTTAATGTTGCTTTGAAGAGTGGATAAATCAGCAATGAACTCTAATCACAAGGCTTCAAATTCTCTGTGGCACTAATGCACTGTAAATATTGATTTGCTTCTGGAGCTAAGGTGCATTTTAAATAAGCGCTAGAAATAGGAAATCTAACAACACACTGTACAATAATTTTTTACGAAGTCAAAGAAGCAGAGGAGAGAAATATCATAAAGATGTGCAGAAACCTAAGTACCGTATTTTTCGCTCTATAGGATGCACCAGACGATAGGATGCACCTAGTCTGGTGGGGAGGAAACAAGAAAAAAAAATCTGAATCCCAGAAGCCAGAACAGCAAGAGGGATCTGGCTTCTGGGATAGCCGCTGGGATAGCTGGTCTAGCTTTGCGCAAAGCCTTCATCCCCGTGCCCTACAGAGGCTTCACGGGGCTATCCAAAAGCCAGAATAGCTAGAGGAAGCGCTGCACAGCGCTCCCTCTAGCTGTTCTAGCTTCGTGCGAAGCCTCCCCAGGGCAGTGGGGTGCCTTCATCCCCGTGCCCTGCAGAGGCTTCTGGGACAGCCCACGAAGCCTCCGGAGGGCAGTGGGATGAAGGCACCCTGCTGCCCTGGGGAGGCTTTGCGCAGCTAACCCCGAAGCTAGAATAGCGAGACGGAGCGCTGTGCAGCGCTCCCTCTCCCTGTTCTGGCTTCTCGCTTAGCCGCGCAGCCTGCATTCGCTCCATAAGACGCACACACATTTTCCCTTACTTTTTAGGAGGGAAAAGTGCGTCTTATAGAGCGAAAAATACGGTAGCTACGAAAACATATTTATTGCTATCAACTCAACAGTATTTAGATAAACGAAATATGAGAAGGAAATTTTGTGTGCCTGAACAGAAGAGCAGGTTTCTGATTAAGTAAGCTATTAAAAGGTAAAGGTACCCCTGCCCGTACGGGCCAGTCTTGACAGACTCTAGGGTTGTGCGCCCATCTCACTCAAGAGGCCGGGGGCCAGCGCTGTCCGGAGACACTTCCGGGTCACGTGGCCAGCGTGACATCGCTGCTCTGGCGAGCCAGAGCCGCACACGGAAACGCCGTTTACCTTCCCGCTAGTAAGCGGTCCCTATTTATCTACTTGCACCCGAGGGTGCTTTCGAACTGCTAGGTTGGCAGGCGCTGGGACCGAACAATGGGAGCGCACCCTGCCGCGGGGATTTGAACCGCCGACCTTTCGATCGGCAAGCCCTAGGCGCTGAGGCTTTTACCCACAGCGCCACCCGCGTCCCCAAGTAAGCTATTACCCGTGGTTAAAACCTCAAAGGATAATAGGATTTTCAAGATAACAAAGTGGAGATAGTGACTAGAAATAATTTCACAGTAGCACGTTGAATGGTAGTATTAAGAAGTGTGCTTTTGCATGAACATGCATCTACCTTCCAGTACTTGTGGTGGGTTGAACTGAATTCTATCTTGGAAAATAAATCCCGTTTGA